GATCTCGCGCCATCGGATTACCACTTATTTCGATCCCTGGACAACTCCCTTCGTGGTAAAACTTTTAACGATGATGACGCTGTAAAATCTCACTTAACTCAGTTTTCGGCCGAAAAGGATCAGACTTTCTACGAGCGTGGAATTTTCAAGTTGTCAGAGAGATGGCGAAAGGTCATATCGAACAAAATGGAAAATACATTACAGATTAAACTTCGTTCCAAGTAAAAAAAAATTTTTTATTTCATTGAACAAATCGGCAATTACTTAGTTACGAACCCGATAGTTTTCACCTTGCTGCGCGAATTCTTGTATAACACGGCCAATACCGCCGTAAGCCGCTAAAGCCCTGACAAGATAACTGTTAATCAGATTCGCCGTCGACCTGTTGCAACAAGTCCGCACCACGATCGAGTTGCAAACGATCCTGAACTACGACCCGAACGAGGATGACAATGCGACCAATAAGCAGCTGGCCAGACTGGAGGTGGCCATGCACTACAAGCAGAAAACTTTCGTCTCCCATTCCCACGTGCAGCAATTTTTGGCTGCGATTTGGTGAGTTCGCGAAGTCGTTCTAACTTGCAGCCGTGCTTCGGTCCAACGGAACCGGCTCGCGGAATTGTTTCGCGCAATTCCGATGCCGCGTTTACAGATATTATCTTCTCCGGAAACCAGCGCGCCGGAACCGCGATTATCCTCGACGATTATGTCAATGGGGTTCTGAACGGTTGTGTTGCCGCTCCACGTGTTCCTTTGTAAAATACTCGAGTTCGCCATACGGAGTTTGCCGTAACTTCTTCGAAACATTATTGCAACGGAGATTACGTCAAGATGGCTGTGATTCCGTTCTCGATTAGGTACGACGGCCTGCCGGGCTTCCGTCGAATGGCCACGCCCCAGAGGTTCAGAGTGCTCGCGAAGACCGCCGCAATGTTCCCGTACTACTCCATGGTGTACTTGCTGGCTCCCGAATCGAAAACCGGCCAACTGGTGCGAAAACCTTTCGTCAAGTTTCTCATCCACGCCTCGAGCTACTTGTTTTTCCTGTGTGAGTACACGACCGCCGGCGAATCCGTAGAAAATAGGGAAGAACTACAGCAAATTCTGCCTAGTGGTCCATGTGACGGGCTTATCGGGGATTATCCTTGCGCTATTCCTACGCTTGTACGCGTTATTCCTGCGCCTATGCTAAAGTCGGTCGAGCGTGTGATGCGGCACGCGGCTCGCGGCTCGTTTGACTAGAATTTCCCGGAATCGCGATACATAATGCAATAACGTGACCTTCTCAATTAAAGTGTCGAAACATTTTAGTGCTGGATTTTTTTTTTAAATGAGCCCAAACGTGATATAGGTTGGACAGATATTGTTGATCACATGAAATTGAAACAATCATGATGTAATTGAATAAATATGGTCCAACGCGTGTTGTGTTTCGCCTCATTTTAATTGGAAGAATCTGAACAATATGTTTAAAAAGTTTCATGTATGAAAAGTTTGCTGTCTCTCTCTTTCCCTCTCTCTCTCTTCTCTCCTTCCCTCTCTATCTCTTCCTTTCCCTCTCTCTCACTATTTCCCTCTCTTCCCCCCCCCCCCCCCCCCCCCCCCCCCCCCCCCCCCCCCCCCACCCC